ACAACAACCCTGTGAGGTGAGTTGGGCTGAGAGAGAATGACTGGCCCAAAGTCACCCAGCTAACTTCCATGCCTGAGGCAGGACTAGAACTCACAGTCTCCTGGTTTCCAGCCTGGTGCCTTAACCACTAGACCAAACTGTTTTCAGGGGTATTCAGAGTTACAGTGAATGTTGTTGTATATACTATATTTATCTATATTTCATTTCTTTTCTTAACTTAGGCTGTTAATTTGTTTGGCTTATTTCTTGTTCCATTTATGTGCTTTGCATAACATTGCTCACTTCAAAAGAGAATAACATGATAGGTAAACCTGTATCTATGTATGGAAAAGAATTTGTTATGTGATCTCAGCAGCATTATTTTCTAGGGGTATGCAGAGCAGTTGAAAGAAATACTTTGCAATCACTGGAGTACATAGAAGAACCTGTTTTTGAGTTATTAATGCACTAGCTGTTTGCCAGGTTTCTGTGGCAGCTTTGAAAACTGCTCCTGGCTATCTCTGTTTATATATGCTTGGAAATGCATGTTGCTTCTGCTTGCCAGTTTGTTCCTGTGTATTGCAAAGCACCTTTTTCAAATGGTTTGCCCATAGAGTCACTTTTTGATTGAGGCGACATACGTCCAGGTAGGTAGGTAGGTAGGAAGGTAGGTAGGTAGATAATGAAATATTCCTTGGCTTCTAGAAAACCATAGGACAGGGGATCCTAATCTAGAAATAAAATTGTTGCCATTAGATGGCTCTCCAATACTGCTTTACCCATCATGTAATCCTGCTGCATTACCTCTTTTTCATCTATAGGTGGCAGAAGAAGAATATCTAATCCAGGAGTTGCGGAAAATTGAAGCTAGGAAGAAAGAGAGGGAGAAGCGGACACAAGATTTGCAAAAACTCATTACAGCTGCTGACACAACCACTGAACAAAGACGTGCAGAGCGCAAGGCGCCTAAGAAAAAGCTGCCACAGAAAAAAGAGACTGAGAAACCTGTAAACATCTTATGCTTCCCTTGCTTGTTTTTCTTATGGTGCTATCTTACAGTTTGACTGCCAGGAATGGTTGGTTGACTGTATAAGTTTTGCTTCCGTGATTTGGTTTGTTTCTTTTCAGACCTTAATATCTCTTGAAGCAGTCATACAGGAAGTTGTGGTATGGCCACAGTTAAGCTAGAAGGAAAGGAACTGAAATTGCTAGGCTGGAAAGGAGATAAAGTGGGCTTAAGACAAACCCTCTCAAGGGGCATAGTGAATACACAGTCAGGAAGTCGCTCTCCTCTGTGTCATTCTGCACGACAAACATGGTCAGTGAAAGATGCCAATTTTAAGCTGTAAGTGTGAATACTAAAGTTGGATAGAGCAGTCTATTTACAATTACATTTGGTCATTCATTTAAGTTTCTTCTTTTCCTGTTTCTAGAAATTAATATGCAAATACCTATTTAATGTTGGAATGTGTTTTCTTTTAAAATACACACACACAAAATATTTAAACACAAGCATTTCTTTTTTTAAAACAATAGTTTTTTTAATACAGGCAAGGCACCAACTCAGATAAATAAATAAATAGTGGTTATGCAGAGAGAAAATAATATAGTAATTCAGATAAACTAAACATAACAAAAAATGGAAAAAAACTAATTTAAAAAAAGGAAAGAAAAAGATTTATATAATATCCATTTAGTATTAATATAAATTAATTAAATCCTTAAGCTTATTAAATCTAGATCATAGATAATGCACTTTTAAAGATTGATTCCCTTAAAATGTATATCACAAAAGTATGAATTTCAGAAGATAATGCTGTTCTGATCTGCTCAGGAGGATCAGAACAATTCACATTGGAATTTATGAATTCTGAACTGCTCAAGCATCCAACTTGCTGTCAGGTAGAAAACATGCTGTTAGATGATGTATTGATAGTAAAAACATTCTCTCTTAGTCTGACAGTGAGCTTCTAAGGTTCAGCATAAGTGAGAGAGTTAAAGAATAATTGAAGCAATCACCAATAGGTGATTGAGTTTGTGATCAACCCACCCATCCCCCATTGCAGAATGATGTTTTCCTGAAGACTACAGATGGTAGTCAAGACCGGATAACTTAGGGAACAACTTTGGCCTTGAGTGCCTGTTTGACACTTTTTTACCTGTCACTCTTTAATATCTCACTTGTTCTGTGAAATGCTAGTAGATCATATTGTGATCCATAATCTCTAGATTGTGGTTGCTTTTTATATAGAATATAGTGTGGAATGGTAGCATGCCATATCATTTCTGGAAAAGATTCTGCCTTTCAGTGATGAAGAAGGGATCTCAGCACTGATTTCATATGAAAATGCATCATTTTGTGTGAGCAAGACTGGCTTTGCATCTGTAAATCTCTTGTGCAGACTAAGATTAGGAGGTCTCAAAAATTTGAAGTCTGTGGCTTCAGTTTCTCTTAGCTTCAGTCCCTCACTAGACAGGTTATTCTGTTCCAGTACATATGGGATTAAGTAGCCATTCAACTTGCTTTAGGCATGCCTGGCTACTTCCCACAATATTGCCTGGGGCCATTATGCCTGCATGTAAGTAAACACCTCAGGGTTCCTAAAGGCAGCTTATGTTGTTGCACAAGTGCTGTTTCAACCATGACAGAGTCCATTAGGAGTCAATTACCAACTGTAGCAGGAGACCGCGTTTTTTTAAATTGCATTTTAACTAACAATTTGAATTGAGGGCTGTATCAGCATCATCTCAACAAAGGGAAGTCATTTACCAAAGAGTCAATTGAGGTTGAAGCTTTTACAGCTCATGCTTGCATGTGAGGTATAGCAACTTGTTTAATTGCTCTGATGTGAGGCAAAGGCAGGTTGTATAGTGGGGAGGGAGTTAACCTGCCCTTCATTTTCATTAGAGATTAAATGGAAAATTATTGAGGGGAGGTAGTAAGAATTCGCCTAACACTGTCCTGAGGTTATCTTGAACCATATAAAATCAAAGCTTTTAAATAGAAGTTTAGATGCCTCCACAGTGCTTAGTATGGTGCAATCTACAGGATCTAGGATGCATGGCAGGTGATTTGATATTTCCTGTTATTTTTATAATAGTATATTACTTTGGCTTTGACTACAAATTGTCCTGGTATGAAATTTAATTAATTAATTAATTAGCACCAACATATTTTGGTCTGCTGATATGGGTTCAGGTATTACAAGCAACTACTTTGCTTGTAGTTTGAGTAAATTGAATTTGATGACTTTAGTAGTATAAGTTTTGGCCAGACACAGGTAAGAATGTCTGAACATGTCATCAGGAAATTCTCTTATATGTTTCATTCCCTTGACTGTTGGATTTGTTTTCAGTGGATCCTTGATTTTAGAGAATATATGAACCATCTCATGCATAGTTCACAGCATATCTATTTACACAGCTTCTAAGAAGGCTGTTCAGGAGGAGTAAAAGAAAGATCAAGAGCTGGTAATAGTTTTTCTTTTGAAGAAACATATATGAAGTTTCAGATCATCCCCATTTCTGGTGAGCTATGAGAGTTTGGGGAGGTGGGGATTGTATTTCTTTTTCTAATAAGCAAGTCTGTGATATTTGATAGCTTTTCTGTCCTTAATACCGTTGAGCAGTTTCTAAGTAAAAAAAATTGGATCACCCAGCTGTGAAGAAAGTGGATAAGATCCATCAGCCCATTGAAACAGCACCATATTTTTCTTTCTGATTCCATTCAGATGTAATAGGGTTTTTCCAAGAAGCCATTGTTTGTTAAAATGTGAATGAACAATGTGATTGTGCACTCTTGTGCACTTTCTGCAGTAGAAGCAGTTTCTTATATCACAGTTTTCTGTCACCTCTGAAGTTCAAAATAAAGTATGTTCTGCCTATAGATCATATCCTACTTTGTAATTCTGAACCATAGAAGATATTTAAATGGCATAGTTTCCACATGCAGACATTAAAGAGAAACTGTGGCTTAAGTATCCTGGATCTGGCATAGGCTGAAGAGAGAGGATTGGGAAGATGAGTGTATTTACATTCATTATTAATGTCTAGACCTTGGTTTGTTGGAATGCCCTGTTATGCCAGAGCAGAATCACGGTAACGTTAAAGATATAACCCAGACGGTTTGCAAGCAAACCTGAATATATCCATATTTTGTAGATTAAAAAGAATCATATTTGAGATATGCAAGTACCTGAAATTATATACAACAATGAAAATTCCATGCCTGTCTTAGACTTAGATGACAATGGTTGAGGTTAAAATGATAAATATCAAAATAAAAAATAATATAGTGCTATAATGAACAAAGCTGGGATTTTGTTGGATGTGTATATTATCTTTTTTATGTTAACAGTGCAAAACTCTATAAGAGAATAACCATTTTTGTTCACCAGAACAAAGGAAATTGTAATACCTTTTTAGATGGTCATTAACACACCTATTTCTGTGAGCAGATGTAGAATTCACTTGCAAGAGAGGGGAGAAAAAAGAATCTGTGATAGAGCCTCTTCTGTCAAGCTTTTTTTTCTGTGCTAGGGATTCACCTCCACCCACATATATTTTTAAAATCATAGTTTAATTGTATAAGAATTTATGACATTGAAACATTTGTGAATCTGTAGTGTTTAAATAGCAGATACATTATATGCTTAGCTTGTAATGGGGAAATATGTGGCTAGAGGGGAAAGATGTTATTTCTTGTGAAAAATGTGAGGGATGATGAGTTGGGTACATTTGCTGCAGTATAAAGCATAAGGAGAGAGCAAAGATTAGGATGAATGTTTAGTGTAAATAATATAGAAATTAAATGGTTAACAGAGGATGACACAGATGTAGATACTGGTTTTCTGGAAGCTGGAAAAATCATGCTTTCCTGTATAACAGATGTTCTGCATATTTTTCTTGTTTTATACAACCGTGCACATCACACCTTTGGTTTATTATTTGCTTGGGAAACTATGAAAAGACAGAATCATGGGAATGAGATAAAAAGTTTTATAATAGCTGTCATACCATAAAGGAGGATTTGGGATTTGACAATGAATCTTCTAATGATCAACTGAAATAAAAAGATAAGATGCCCAAATCAACACATTTTGAAATGGACTAAAGCAAGTTATGTATTTAATTCACTAAACAAATTATATTTGGAGACCTTTGAGCCCAGATACTATTTTTAGAGGCCTCATTAAGGAGAGACCTGGTAGATTTTAGTTTGTAGGAATAGTGCTGCCTTTAATATAAGAAACTTAAGGATAGATTCATATACTTTACCTTATCTGATAGATGTTGGCTAGTTTTGAGCAGTTAGAGAACTGACTGGCATCTCACACAAGAAAAGTAATTTTAAAAAATCCTATTGTATGAAAGGTCCTTGTAATAGTAATTCTAAAAGTAGTTTTCTGTTGTAAAAATGTTACTTCTCTTAGTTTTAAAGCATGCTGCATGTTTGTCTTGTTAGATTATTTTAATTCTAATAAGAAAGTATTTCACCTTGAATCCCACACTTTCCAATTCTGTTTTCTTGCTACTGATACAATCCATGAACTGTTAGATTCATAATGTCACAAGAAAGCTAGCCAGCTCCATAGGACTTAATTTTAGTCCAAGTGAGAGAATCCTGCAGTGAGATGTACCTGCTTTATCCCGTTGAAAAGTCAATTCTGGGTACATTTACGTGGGAATAAACACTAGTGTACTTAACTTAAGTATGATACTTGATTCAGCTCCAAGAGTTCACATCTCTTGAGCCTTTCTTACAGAATAATTTCTGTGGATAGGTTCATGTTTGTTTTTTATGCCTGTTCTCGCTTTCAGTTTTAATCTAATATTTTTGAGGAAAGTTTATTAAATATGTAAGGAATGAACGTCTAACACCACTATGTAATTCACAAGCAAATATAGTGTAAGTATAGTTGGAGCTACCTAGATGCCATGCATCACTTTGTGAATAAACTGAATCTAATCTGACTTCATCGTTATACCTCATTGCTCACTTGCCTTGAATAATTTTAAACAGGTACTATGTATAGATACTAGATTTGTACTAGAGTAGATTGCTGATATCTTAATGTACTAAAGCCATATTGTTACAATTTTAATTAAACTAGTAGATGGCTGTACAAGCAGCATGGTAAACAAATAGTTCACCTCATTTCCTATTCATCAGGTCCTTCCAGTTGTGCTCAGAAGGATGTTCATCTGAATTCAGATTTATTTCTGACAGGTGTTTCTCTAGCAGGAAACTCTGCTTAGGTTTTTGCCTTACCTTCATACCTTACCTTGAACTGTCCTTCTGTTTTAGGCTGTCCCTGAAACAGCTGGCATCAAGTTTCCAGATTTCAAGTCTGCAGGTGTCACGCTGCGGAGTCAAAGGGTAGGTTAATGTGCTGGTCTTTGGGGGCTATGGGGATACCTGCCTGCTTACTTTCATTTCTTGTTCCTCTCCTGTTAATGGTCTAATGGAGCATGAGCTACAACAGTACAGTGGCTCCAGCTAAACTCTTGAATATAGACTGTGTAGTTTTATCTTTCAACCTGTCTCTTTCTTCTTAAGTAGGGGTGCATAACTTTTTTGGGGTCAAGAGACATTCTTTAGTTTTTAAGATTATTTTTTTCTTTGAAGCTCACTTCATAACATCAGCTAGGGTGAAATATTTACCACTTTTGGGGACCTTTTAAGTGGTGAAATGGGTCTATTAAATCTTATGGAGCTTTAAATCATCTTTTTTGCACTTCCCCCCTCCCTCAATTGCAGGCTGTTATATTGTGAAAAATCAGTAGTATTGCTCTGGGGGCCACAGGTTATCCATCCTTGCTCTGATGTTAGTAGTGCTTTAACCTGATTCTCTGCTTCAGCCTATCATTTTTGATAATGGAACTCTCGTAGAGAATGGAAACAAGGGAACAGAAGTGGAAAACTATGATCTCCATGATAAGGGAACTTTGCCTCCTGCATACAGACTGATACCTCCAAGCGGTATACAGTTTTTGAAAAGATAAATCTGACTTCATGATGCAGATTCCTTGGTAGATTTCATATATCAGTTTGCAAGAAACAGATCCTTTAGGAAAACAAATGTTTTGGGAATAGAGCAAACCTGGTTATTTCATTTCTTGGAAATTCACTTATTCGAGAGTATTTTAGGATCCAGTAGATAGCGCTTCTAAACTTGCATCTGAAGGTCTAGGTTTAAAATGCCAGTTCAGCCACCCTCAGTTTGTTAGTTAAATTGGAAGAGTAGTGGCTGAACTCCATTTTTTTGGAGTTTTGTGAAATTGACTGAGAAAATAACTAATATCTGTATAAAATAATTGCCAGCTAGCCAAAGCCCGCCCCCCAAACCTCACATTGGAGTTGTCAAGGGTATAGCTTTGGTGTGTTCTATCTTTCAAAAGCTTTACTGCTGGTTGTTTATTGTCTGTTTTCAAATGTAAGGTTGGGAAATACATGGAAGGTTATATTTGAAACTAGATTAATCAGAGTAATTTTGGATCATGATTTGGAATGCTACTTTAAACTTTCATGTGTGGCCAAAATTCTTGCTATTGCAGAAGGTAAGAGGCTCTGGTCTGGTTCAGATCTGGAATCATAGAATCATGAAGTTCACAGCAAATCATGGGTTGGTATGAGTATGAATATTGGACTCAATGCTCTTCTTTTAAATCTCCTATTTTAAATCTGCTAGTTCTAAACTGAAGTTTGGCCTTTTGCTCAATCTTAGGAAATGTGATTTATTTATTTTTTTGGGCATGAATGGCAAGAGGAAGTGTATGAGCTAAGAAGGATCAGCCTAATATATCAGGGTGTTCAGGTAAAGCCAACAGCTTTCCCCTCTCACCATGGGCATCCAATAAGAGTAGCAGGTGGCATTGCCCGTGTCACAACATCATCAAACAACCTACCTCATGATATATGCAGCCTAATTTAGATGTCATTGTGGCTTCTGTCTGATGCCTGTGTCTCTCATAATCAGCATATAGAGCGGGCAAGGATTTTGATTAGTCCAAGTGGGCAATCTACATTTAGGTTGATGAAGGTCTTAGGCCATTTACTAGTGAGGCCCTCCTTCTGAACTGAAATTGAAACTAACATTTTGTCATCATTTGGCTAACAGTAGTAATCCGATTTGGGGGTATGTTTTAAAAAATGACTTTCTGGTAAATTAATTTCAGCCAGCTTTGGGCCAGCAGTCCTGTTTAGAATTTTGAAAGAATATTGTTGGTTTTCTAACAGAGCTGCTGTGGGGTGAGGCTTGCTAGTTACAGAATGGTTCCCATGAAAGGCATGAGGCCCCCTGACCCCCTAATGCACTTAATACCAAAGGGCATTTACTGTCTGACCTCTAAGATACTCCCTACCACTCCATTCTTCCTCCATTCTGGGCAGGTAAGCACACTTTTGGACAAAGTGCAGGGCTTTTTTTTTTTTTAATGAATCATTTTGGGGCCCTTGTGACATTCTTGTATATAAAGATGATACTGGAGGCTGGTGCTCTGCTTTCCACATACCCACTTTCTATTTAAAGTCTGGCAGAGAACCTGGCAGAAATGGGGTAGGTGAGTAAAACTGTAGTTGTGCTTATAGTAACATGTTGTGAACCTTCAGTTATATTTACCTCAATATTTGGATTATTTTTCTAAAACTATAAAGCTATAGATTGAAAACTCGGTTACCAATAAAGATTCCCTAAGGGAGAGAGAGATGGTTATTATATAATATAAAGTTATAATATTAAAAGGAATTGTGATATCTGACAGGATATATTTTTCTACAGAGATTCTCTAAGGCAGAATTCCGGGAGTTGAAGTCCACACATCTTGCCAAGTTGCCAAGGTTGAGAAACACTGCTCTAAGGCTTTCTCAAACTGGTTCCCTGCACAAGTTTTGGACTGCAGTTTCTGTCATGTCCGGCCAGTTTATCCAGGATACCTGGGAAAGGCTGCCACAGAATACAGAGAAGTTTTTCTTTGTATACCTTCTCTTTTACTGGAACATATTGTCCAGAGAGTCACAGTTGGGGAATGAATTACATGAAAAGGTGGTTAAGCCATTTATTTAACCTTGTCTGAGTCCCAGTTCATGCATTAGGGATGTAGCAAAGCTGTCATTTCACTGTGAATTGGTTCTCCTGCTTCACTGCTAACATTCAAAGGATAGAATCACATAGAGGTATGTGGCTGAAGCAATATCTGTGTGGCATTTCAAGAGTTTCTCTAAGTCATTGGACCTGGATTGAGAATGCAGGCTTGTTGGACCCCCATTTCTATTAACATGTCTCCTATAGCAACCTCTTCCTATTTCTGTTCCTTACTGGCAAGATGTGGAAATAATGTACAGTGTGACAGATGCAAAGGTGGGTAGATATGGAAGCTCTGGGGAGCAGTCAGGAGGGGATTTGTTACCTGTCTGAATTAAATCCTCTTTCTAAACAGTTTATTCATATTCTGTCTTTCCATTTAATGCAGTAGAGAAATCAACATGAGGTTTACTGCTTAAGAAGAAGGAACATGTTTTTAAAATGCCAGGGCTCCCTGCCTCTCCTCCATGCTTTTTACTCTTTGGGTTCATGATGATCATAGAAATTAACAGGCATATTTAATATAAAACACAGTCAGCCTATTTTGGCTGTTCTTTGAGAGTAATGAACTACAGAGCACTCTTTGTAGCAGAATGCTCCACTAGTAAGATCAGCACAGATACTGAAATCTTTCTTATGGGCAAAGCAGAATTCAGGTTAGGTGAAAGAGTACACCTATCCAGGACCTTCTGTTTTGGAGAAGTGTATGATAGTCAACTTGTGTTCTCTTCCTGAGTGACAGTGATATTTTAATGCAGGAATGCAGCAGACATTTCTGATTTGTGGTGGAAATGTGTGGCTGAGAAAAATTTGAAGGGACATAAGTACTTTTAGCTGCTGCCAATTTCTAATTAAAATTTAACTGCTGCCTTTGATTCTTAAAGGACCAAATCTGGGTGCTGTTCCTGTGTACTTGCATTTTCCCTTTAGGCACTTTGTTTTATTTTTCTTTGTAATAGTGGGATATGGTGGCCATCTTGAAAAATGACCTTTTATATAACTCCCAGACCTCTGTGTGCCAATTTTAGTCTCTTTTTTTTTAATGC